AAAGCGGCAACATTTATTCTATCTTCTCATGGTAACACCCACTCGTTCTGACCACAGCAATCCAGAGGGCACGGCGATGAGAAATGTATTTCTCTGCATTTCCACACAGATTCAGGCTTTGGTACAGAGCAGTACCAAAATGTAAAGGTAAAATTGAAAAGCTTCACGGCTGCCAAGTTACTGAACACAGCATGCAGATGCTGCTGCTCTGCAACTCAATTCTGACCTTGGGCATACATTGCTATAGGACTCCAGAATACAAATTCACTGTTTTCCCCAGTGGTTCCTGGTAAAAGATTTCCAAGATATTCAGAGGTGTTTCCCACATCTTTATTGCAATTTGATCTTTGCAGCTGAAATGATACAGTCAAAGTCAGCAGTTCTGAGTCAAAACACAGTGTTAAATGTGAGATATTAGTCATGTTTGTAATACCCCGCAGTTGCCACAGAGAGAGAGGTTAGAACACAGATAAGTTTAATATAAAACAAGGTAACATGTTATGATCCTGTTAATAATTTTTTTTTACCACTTTTCATTTTAATGTGAAAAAACAATGTCAATTACTAATCAGAAACAGATTGTACAATTATGTAACATAATAACAATACTGGGCATCCTGATCTAGTGGTTGGCATCCCTGCCCATGGCAGCAGCATCCCAGCCCAAAGCAGATGATCTTTGAGGTCCCTTCTAACCCAAGCCATTCTGTAATTCTATGATTCTATGATAATAATAACATAGATAATAAAAAAGTACACTGGTGTGCTCTCTGTAAGTTTGGTATATTTGGCTTGAAGTCACTTGAATACATTTGGATTGGAGGTTTGGGTCTGAATACGCAGAGGTAGAACTGCTATTCTCAGTGGGGATGAACCATTGGACCTCTTTTCATGATTCTGAGTGCCAGTTATTAAATAACACTGGCAATAAGAGGGATTGGTATATGAGTTCCCAGAAAACGATGATTTTCACAATAATTTTTTTTTTTTTCTCAAAACGTTTCACACAAATGAGAACTCAGAAAGTTGTAAGAAAGCTGATTTATGTCCTATAATTCTATAAGGAGACTAAAAGCACCGAGCTCCTGTTATATTTCGCTATGTGCAATAATCTGAAAGGTCCTGGGTGTGCTTTCTATGCTTAACACAAATAAATTTAGATTAATTATCTGAGGCGTAGCTAGTGCCAAATTTATCAGATGATTTATGACTACAATAAGAGTTTGTAAAATTATTTCCAAAGCAATAAATCTAGCAGCTTCCACGCCTTCCCATGGCATCCCTGTGCTACTTGCTGCACTTCCCACAACATGAACCTACCCAGTGCCCCCAGCCAAGCACAGACACATGAGCTCAGGCCAGGAACTCCTGCCACTGAGGCCAGGGAGCGGAACCACGGCTGCTGATGGCCTCAGTGTGTGTCTGTGTGCCTAAGGATCAAAAACCACTCCAGTGAGGACAGGCCGTTCTATCTTAACAAATCTAACACACACCCAGTCCTTTCAGCACCCATCCCTTGACTCCTTGAGCTTCAGTATCAGACCTCTGAATTGTTCTCACAGGCTGTTGCAAGTTTATGGCCCAGATTGGCAGGGTATGTGTGGACAGGCTGTCTGCAGGGCTCCTCCCAAGGCTTTCCAAGGCAGCTATTTGTATATTCCAGCACAGGAGAAAATTTATTTCAGGGATTTTTTTTTTCCCATTTGCCACTCTTCCGAGAACATAGTGTATTCCCCTTCCTACTGCATACCCAGGGAAGGCGATACGGAAGCTGTGGCTGCTTTCTCGTGTTTATGTACACCAGACTCTATATTCTTCCTTCCAAATGACAATTCATTCATCACTCTCTTTTTGTCTTTCCCTCTCTCTTCCCTTTGAACTGGGTGTTACTATCTTCTGCCTTCTCTCATTCTGGTTCCTCCCTCTCCCCACCCACACATCCATGCAATTACCATTGCATTACTCATCACTTCTATAGTCAGAGAGTAGAAGCAACGACCCAGCGATACAGGAGGTGAAAAGTTTCCCCTTCCTGCTTGTTTACTGACTGGCTCTTTTTCATACATCCAAGCCAGATATCTTCTGCAGCACTTAGGACTGCAGCCAAAGTGGCAAACTTCTGAAATAGAAGGGAGTCCTACGATATAGAGATGCTGACAGCACTTCCTATTAACCATCAAGGGTTAGAAAGTGCCTCTAATTTTACAGGGTGATATAAATGCCTCAGATTACAGGGAATGCACCACAAATTCTGATTTCTAACACTTTCTGTATTACTACAAGCACCAGTAATTTCCAAACCTCCCCACTTATCCACCTGGCAGCATGCAAGATGGCCAAACTCATCCATAGAGATAAGCACTACAGCAAACTGCACGATGCTGCATGTGACTTTGGCACAGCAGGACCCTTCCTGGATACGACTGAGCAGCTTTTATATTTTTCAGCCCCAAATGAATCATGAGAGGAAACAGCCCAGCAGCACCTGATATCAGACCTAGGACAGAAGGATTTGGGTTCAGAATGTTTTTGCTACCTGGCTCGTATCTCTTTCCAGCTCTCAGCAGAGAAGAAACAGGAGAACTGTCTTCCCAGCAAGGGGACTGAAGAGAAGCTCAAATAAAAGACCAGACAAAATGAAGGCAAAGCAAAGTACTTTTCTAACTCCTTTTCCAAAAGAATTGAAGTGCTCGGCCAAAATTCTCCATGTGTCAGCAGGAAGCAGTCACTCCTTGTACAGTGTGGGGAAATTTCAGCCAAAAAGGTTATTCAGGCTGAATTGCAAATGCTGAAAATCGACTTTCATTATGGCAAGTACCAGTACTTCTTACCAAGAATTGACCTTAAAGCATCACAGTTCTAAACTGTTCTTTTGAGATGTGTAAGTTATGAAGAAAGGTTTCACATGCACAAAGTCATCAATCAAGAAACTGAATAGGCTGCCCTCCACTGTGTTCTGGGAGCTATAAATGCGCTGGTCACAGGGCAGCTACAGGCTTTGTGGAGCCAGCTGCACCAGAAAAGTGTCTCATTGAGGCCACAGCCACGCAGAGCTGCTCCAGCACACCAGGGAAGGCAGAGGCATCCCGCAGCAGGGGCCTACAGCTGCCCCAATAATTGAAAACTAATTATATTTGGCAACAAGGGCCAACGGTGATAACACACTGTATTTTCTGCAGCACTATGTATCTATTCTGTACGCTTTTTCCTGTACTACACTGGTAAAAGGAGTCTCAGAGTATTCCTAGTTTTAGGAAATGGCTCTGTGTGGTTTATTTGCCTCACAAACACAATCCAGCTGTTTCTACTATGGCTTTCATTGCTTCAAAAGCCTAAATTTAATCCTCACACACACTGCCAGGCATGTATCAATTTCGAAGGCGAAATCTCAGCAGACATAACTCTCATTTGGAGCTGCCTTTTCCTGCATACCCAGAGAAATCCCTGCCATGTGTTCGTTCTGCATTTACATTTCAGGGTAGGATTTGATCAGATGCTTGATCTGGAAAATGGAGACACCCACTGAAAGTAGGTCATGATAGTTCCGAAAAGGAAGATCACAGTGCTGAATTGTTTCACTGGAAATCCAAAACACAACCAGGTTAGAAATTCTGTTCTGTAAAACAACACATTCTGCAAATACTCTAAGTGGAAATATTATCCCTTACAGTGAGTTCTGCTGTTGGTGGCTTAGAACGCAGCCGCACAGGAAGCAGTATTTCTGATGTGCCCTTAATCCCGCACTGAATCAAAGCTTCAGCATAACGGTGCTTTCATCTGCTCATGATAAACAGTTTGCTGAACCAGCGGTTTCTGTAGGAAAACTATTTGCTGCTCTTTTTGCCAGAAGTGTTTTCAAACAGAGGGCAGCGCTTACCTCCTGCCTTCCTATCTACTGCAGGCAGAACTGATTCTGAAGTCTCTTCCTCCACTGAATCACATCATAAGAGGAAGTTGTTATTATTAACTGTATTACATACTCACGTTTATCATTTTTGGTTTTGGAATGCTAACATTACAATTATTCCTGAAAGCAATTATTAGTTTGACGTTCCCACAGGGAAGCAATCTGTCTCATCTCCAATCCAAGCAGCTATTTCTAGCTTCATTCACAAGATACAAATGCTGCCTCACAAAACGCTACCGCAAAAATTTAATTGTGTTAATTGCAGCCAACACATTTCCAAAGCTGCTGTTTACAAATTTTGACATTAGTGCTCGTTTTGTTCGGTCTTAATAGTAATAGTGAGATAAATGACATAGTAAGCAAAGTTCATGCTTGATACCCGTTCTTAATGGTGGCTGAAATATTTACCTATTCCTTAGATGTAAAGAAATTAAATTGCAAACAGCTCCTTGCTTTAATACCAAAATAGTTTCTAGCTTGAGATATAAAGCTGAAGAGAAAAGAGACACGAGGAGACACATTAACCTAAGCACTGATAGAAAATTTATCAATTTAAATAAATAATAAAATAAAAAAAAGAATGGATCATTCTCAAATAGAAAATAGCAGGGAAGTCAATGAAATACAGCACTCAACTCAAAGAGCCTTCAGACTCGAGAGCTTTTACCAGAGATGGGACAGGTGCCAGATGAAAGAATTGTTAGAAAAAAAAAAAAAAAAGAAAAAAAAAAGTTTTATGTAATTGTGCAGATGTAATAATGGTATAAAATAATGCCAGCAAGCAGCTCCCAGCTCTGGGCCTGTCTGAGCAGGGAGCTCTGTGGACTCAGCTTGGGCCAGTTGTTGCATTACTGAACTGTCAGGAGTGTAATTTTCTCTCCTCTGTGTTTAATTCCACACCCACTCTTCTGCACATATCAGAAATGATTCTACTAGAAGAAAAAATTACTGTCCCTTGTTCTTCCTTAAATAAATCTCTTCAATGAACATGGAGGTGCTCCCTCAGCAGGATGGAGTAGAAATTGGGAACACCATGGGACGATAGGGAGGGAGCCTGCTCGCTAATTACTGTCACGTACAAAACAGACTTGGCTTGAGGAAGATTAATTTAATTTATTGCCAATTAATAACAAAGCAGGACAGTGAAAACGATAACAACAAAAAAAACCAACAAACTGATGACAGCTTCAGCCCTTTCCATTTTCACTCAGCTTCAGCCTTCGTTCTACTGTTTCCTCCTTGCAAGCAGTGCAGGGAAGCGGGGCTGCAGTCAGTCCAGTCAGGCCTGGCCGCTCCCTGCCTGCCTCCAGGTGTCCTTCCCACAGGCCGCAGCTCCCCAAGCTCTGTTCCAACAGAGCCCCTAACACAGGGCCCACCTTCAGAAGTGCACTGTTCCAGCACACGTCCCCATGAGCGACAGCTCACCCAGCCCTCCTGCCTCACCATGGGCCCTTCTCCACAGGCTGCAGCTCCAGCACAGGGTGCTCCTGCAGAGGCATATCCACGGGCCGTGCCTCCTTCAGGCCTCATCCTGGTGCACTGCAGGCCCCTCCATGGCGCAAGTGGAGATCTGCCCTGTGCAGTGCCCACGGGCTGCAGGGAGATAGATCTACACAGATCCCAACTGTCAGCCTCTACTTCCACGAAGTACGTTAGGTCTGTGGATCTAAAAAGAGATCTTTTAGTCTCCAGCACTGAAATTTGAGATCACTTGAAAAGAAGATGCAGGGAAACGCGCTATCAAAAACATTTTTATTTACAATTTCAGAAATCGTCATCCGAATCATTATCCTCAATTTTCTGTGGTGGCCGCTTAACACCAATGATTAAATCAATATTGAGAAGCTCTATAGCACAATGAAGAACTGAAGTTACCAGCTGGTATTTGCAATAAACTGATTCCAAGCCTTTCTCATTCACAGGCAGGGGCTGATTCTTCCTGAGTGCTTCTGTGGTTTCAAGATAAAACTTGGTAAAGCCGTTCCGTTCTGTTCCATATAAGGCCTTTGGAATACTTAACAAAGCATCAGCAACTACATTAGATATGACAATAACTGCTGACTGCTGAACCTGCTTTGCATAATGCCGAATATAATAATGTAACAGGATTTCAAAGTAACCTCCTACTGGCAGAACTGATCCTGCTTCTAGGACGGAGCAGGGACAACTCTGTGTAACACCACTGCCAGCCTTCTCTAAGCCTTTATCGACGCCTAGGTGCTCACACAGGGTAGCAGTGCTGACTACAGCAGTGCTGTGATTCCTGTGACTGCACACCACTGGGTGCCTTCGGTGGCTCTCGTTCATCCCATCTGCACACTCACACAGTTTGTGTGTCCCTGCTGAGTCAGTCCCACCGGTGCAGACATTCAGCTCCTTGCTGTGTGGGCCAGGAGCTGAGGCTGGTGGCGTACAATCAGGATGTTCGCTTTCATGCGAAGCAAAATCTGAACTTTGTGCTGTTGTTTCACCCCTGCAGCCTCCCAGCTGATGCTCAGAAACCTGACTGCTGCCACAAGCAATACTTTCTATCACCACCTGCGTTTCAGTAGCTGAACAATACCCGCTCCCAACACCTGAGGCACCATTCCGGCTCTCATCTCCGCACTCCTGACCCACCTCTCTGAAGAGCTGCAGCAGCATGGTGAAGGCCCCGTGCAGAGCGGCAGCATGCTGCTCGTTAACCGCATCGACAGGAGCGCACAGAACCAGGCAGTGGGGCTGGAAGGCGCCCGCGCTGCTGAAGCCAATGTGCGCGTACCGCTGGGAGCCCAGCAGCAGGGGCTGGCAGAAGGTTACCACTGCAGCCTCTGTGATCTCCCTCTGCACGCTATCACCGGCAGGGTCATAGGGCGAGATTCCTGTGATTTCAGAGATAAGGGCCACTTCTTCCGATGACAAACACTCCACCACGGACACACCGTGTAATTTCGCGTAGTAGATAACTTCCTCGTGCTGCTTCACGCCGGACAGCAGCAGCCTCACGCCGCTGCTCCGCAGGCGCTCCATCACGGCCTCCGTCCTCCCGCCGCACCAGCGCAGCGCGGCCCGGTGCTGCCGCTCGGATCGCACCGCGCACTCCACGCCGGGTGCCGCGAGCACGGGCCGCAGGCAGCGGGTGACCAGCACTGCGCGCAGCCGGTCGCCGGCCGGGCAGTAGACGGCGAAGTCCCTGCGGAGCAGGACGCCGGGCAGGATCCTGGAGCGGGCGAGGGGCAGCCCGGCGGCGGCGGCGTGCAGCTGCGCGAAGCGGCGGCAGAGGAGGCGCAGCGCGGGCGGGCGGCGCGCCCCGCAGCGGGAGCACAGCTCGCAGCCCAGCAGCGCCACGGCGCGCCGCTCGCCCGGCCCCAGCCGGCCCCGCAGAAAAGCCTCCAGCAGCGCCTCCAGCGCCGCCGCCTCCAGCTCCGCCTCCGGCCCGCCCGCGGGGAAGGCGCTGCGGAGGTGCGGCCGCAGGCCCCTCGCCACGGCGCGCTCCAGCACCCGCCTCTCGAACGCCGGCAGCGCCCGCGCCGCCCGCCGCGGGGAGCCCTCCCGCATCGCGCCCAACACGGCGGCCAGCAGCAGCACGAAGGTCTTGGCGCCGTCCCCCGTCGCGCTTTGGTGGCGGCAGGCGCAGGCCGCCATCGCCCTGCGGGCACACGGGGCGTTAGGCCCGGCCCCCTTCTCTTCCCCACTCGGCCCGGCCCTCCCGCCGCCGTACCTGGCCGTGGGCGGCTGCAGGCTGAGCGCCTCCAGCAGGCGCCGCCCGTCCCGCGTCAGCAGCGCCCGGCCGTCGGCCCGCACCAGCAGCGCCCGCCCGCCCCGCGGCCCCAACGCGCCGCGCACCGCGCCCGCCAGCGCCGCCGCCTCCTGCCGCAGCCCGGGCCGCGCCGCCATGGCAACCGTCCGCTGAGGGGAGCGCGGCGCATGCGCGCGGCCGCGGCGTGAGGCGAGGCCCTGTGGCGAGAGCCCGCCTCCCTGCCCGCCCCTCACAGCCCCATCCCCGAGAAATGCTGTCAAGGCGGGACCGGGGGCTGTAGTTCACATTTTTATTTGTAACCGGAGGGTCTAGCAGGGGAACTAGTTTCAAACACGCAAGCCTTCACGAAAGGTCGGGTGTTACATATGGCACAAACTCGACAAACCGTGTCTGGGAACAAGAAACCCCTCGGGAAGGCACTGTTTACAAAGCTTCGATCCGCTCAGTTTTCAGCGATTGGAGGGTACCCTTAAGAACCAACACAACTTACAGATGTACAGAGAACCCCTGTTATCCGTTATTTACAGATAGAGTGGTGAAGTAACAGCCTCTTAACACGCTACACATTGAACCCAGAGTGCTCCATAAACACATCTGGCAAAAAAAAAAAAAAAAAAAAAAAAAAAAAAAAAAAGGAAATCCCAAAGGCACAGGAGGGTGGCAAACAAAGAGGAAAGAAAGAGAAACCACCATTTGGGAGGAAGACCTATAAGACAATTTCTTGACAAAATTAAACTGGGGGGTGGAGAGCAGGCTTTGCCCTCAGTAAGCGATGCTTCATCTTTAAAAGACATCCAACGTGAAATGTACGACATCTCCTGCTGCTGAAATGGTGCCCTGTGACATCTCATATTTGCTCTTTTAGCCTAGGTCACGGGCACCTAGCTAGGCAATCTGTACCTAATGGCAAATTAAAGGCTTAGAGTGCATTTGAAAACAAAACAACAAAACCACGTGGCAACAATTTCTGATGGTATTTCCTGTACAAGAAAAAACAACCACCCCCTTGAGATCTTTAAATCAAATGTGAAAACAAACTAGTGCTGTTTAATCATACAAACTGGGAAGCTACAGCCCTCACACATCTATCTGCAGGCTGTACAGCCCGTTCTGTAACTCACACAGATCTCAGCATCAGATATTTCATATTCAAGATCACCCACACATTGTGGGCAAGCAGACAATCGTGATGTGCCACGGAAAAGCCCTCACACACCAGGCCCACAAGCAGCTGTACTGCAAGCATCAGGCAGGAAATGATGCCATCCTGTTCACACGGGGGAACATCATCCAGCAAAACGCTGGACTCCAATGTACTTTCTAGAATTTAAGAAATCCAATCGTTCTGTCAAGCAGAAGTCTGCAGTTTTACTTTTTAAAAGTTTCATCATGTATCCTTTACTTTCCTGGACCACGACTAAAACCACCTTTATGACAGAAGTAACCTCTAAAAATAAACTGAAAAGGAACATAAGCATAGGCATTTTGTCTCACTCCGTTCAACTCTGACTTGCCTTGAGCTGAAGCTCAATTTCACATATGGAACATTTGTTTAGTCTGATGCTGCCCGACACTGTGCTGCCAGCCAGCTAGCTGGGTCAAATCCATGAACAGTGAATGTAAAAATACATCCAGTCTGTGTTAGTGACTGATCTTAAATAGAAGGATTAAAATCAAAATAAAAGAGCAGAAGGACATTTCCATTTACAAGGCAGATAAAAAGCTTGTAACTGTCAGTCAAGAGTTTTCAGCACCCCAAATTTAGCAGAGCTATTTTAGGGGATTAAAGTTATTGCTCAAATTCTGATTTTATTTTTACCTCACTCATTTCCTTTTATATTACTCCCACACATGGAGCATGCTTAGGAACCTGTAATGGATAGTTATGACAGATGAAGCTTTGACATTTGAGCACTGTAACAAATGGCCCAATTCCATGCTGAGTAGATTAAATTAATACTATAGTATTCTGCTTTTTTTATGTCATTTTATATATGGCAAACAATTTCAATTTCTGTTGGAGACTTAATTTAGGGACACAAAACTTAACAGTAAGAAACTTCCTATATTCACAAATTCCACCTCATCAATTGCAGACAATAGAGTCCACATTCCAAAATGTTCTGATTCCAGAACAAGCTATGCTAGTACGAAGCTGTAAGAAATAAGCTGAAGTGACTGCTTAAGCAACGAACTTTCACACAGCTGAGGTCCAAAGAAGGAGTAAAATGAAATAGAAAGTGAAGTGCTGCGAAGATGTCAGCCATGGGAACAAATGAGCTTGACTAAGTAAATAGAATTTTCACCAAATGCTGGACAAGGCTGATGCAGAACAGAATGTGAGATCACTTGAAGAGTTACTGAGGCTGCCCAAGGCCATGGCAGCTCCAAACTTTCCATTTGATTTCTGAGAGGACCCACTGAAAACAAACTTGGCTATACTCTGTGTCTCCCGTCTTCCTGCTTTCTTATCTGGGTTGCTGAAAGTACCTTTACAACACTACGGCTACTTTTTGACTTGATACATGTACATGGAAAGGCTTGACTGCCAGAAGGAATTCACCAGATAAACACTGGTACCACTTTTTTAGCTGTAAGTGCTGTACATGCGCGTTGTTCTTCCAACAAGATGCTACAAGCTCTGGTTTTAATTTGAAATTTAAAGTTCACATCAATTGGTATGGCTGCAGATAATGAACAGGTGCACTGAGTATTCAGTTAGGTAGCATATATACACCGTGAATGTAACAAACAGCGTTTCACTATCATTTGTTCTTATTTGTTTTGTTAGCCGTCCCACCATTTCTGAAGCCATTTCCCTTGTAAACACACATTCTCATTTGCAGATGACCTGCTGACAGTGGCCAAATCCTGTTCCACACAGTCCCTCCTTTGGAAAGCTCAACTCATGCTATATACTAAATGTAATTTTTCATCTTCACATTTTGTTTCTGAAATAAGAAAGAGTCCTGGCATTGGCAGTCTGCCTTCTTACTGAGACGCAGCCATACTCCAGTATAAATTCAGCACTTACAGATTTATCAAGACTTAAAAAGCAAACCCTAAAACCTCAGTATTTGCAGTTCATGAGTGTGAATGTACAAACACAGTACCTGCCCAGGTGCTGTGCTATTAAAAACGTGCTCTGTACAGTAGATACAGGAATGTTTTTGTGAAGAACCTGAAGTTTTAAAATTATATATATTAAAAAAAAAAAAACACAAAATTGGCTTATAAGCCAGTGTAGTAATTCAGGACAAAAACTGTCACACCTCCAAAACAAATCAAGGACATAAAATTGCAGAATTCCCAGAGACTTCAGCTTTGTACTCGCCAGTTCCTAACAGTCATGACCTTTGTATAAGAATGTATTCATTTGACCTCAAATAAAAGTTCACATCCAAACACCCAACACCATTAAAAAAAAAAAAAAAAAGTTGGTAAGCCTCGCTACTTTAAAAGTTACTTTGTTACAAAAGTTGAAAGTTTAAATGTAACAAAGTCTGCTGTTTATTACACTACCAAAACAGGAATCAGGTCCAACCTACAGAGCCTGCCCTCTGAATTTTGAATTTATCTATTCTGTGGTGAAGATTCATCAGTACAGCATGTGACATAATAAACAACACAAGGCTGATGCTGTATGTCTGAAACAGAGGCACACACCAGGAGCAAGAGTGTACTGGCACTTACACGAGTCTTACTTCAACTGGGTAGATGGGAGGATGATTCTGAACCACGGACTCTGAGGCAAAAAAGTTCTGCAAGTTGTTGCTACAAGGCTCTTTTAGATAATATTGCATCATTTAAAGTCCAACTTAAAACATGGTCCCCAGTAAGAGTTTGATCATTCCAGTTCAGAAAGGCTCCTGTTCACACTTCCTATTTGAACAAGAAATTGATGATAAGCTGTAGCAGAACCAGGAGTAAAATGAAGATATAGTGCTTCAGCTGCAAAAACTGGTTGTCCACAGGTGGGGAATTAGAAGTGACTCGATTTCGTAGAGCCATTATGTCCCTGTAAGACACAGAATAATATCTCGTAAATCACCACCCAGACAATCTGACATTCCTAGTTTGTTGGGGCTCCCCACAGAATACAAACTTTGAGGAAAATTATGTAATATTGATAAGTAATTAACATGTAGAAGAAGGGTAGTTGAACTAATTTTCCCAGTTCTTCAAAGACATCATGGCATTAAAAGGAGAAAGATAAGCCTCCAAAACAGCTGGGCAATCAGTATTCTTTGTCATTTTAAACCATTTTAGATTTAGTACTACCTCTTAATGTCTTCTTGTGTTTCCTTTATAGATTCAATGGCACTCTGCAGTTCACCAAGGTCTGCCCCTTTTTTCCTTATTCTTGTATTATGCTTCATAAGTTGTGCTACAAAAATATAAAAGATGGGTGTAATTCCCAGAAGGAAGTCCTTAATCCAAAATGGAACAAAGCAGGAATGACAAGATTGCAAAACCAAGGAGGAAGTTTTCTAAGTGAGTTTCTATTGAAAACTGAAGTTTTATTACAAATTTACTGTAGCTCAGAAGGAAAGCAAGTTAAGTTTTAGGAATATCTTAAAACTCTCCAGGTATAGTTTAATTTTTGCAGACAGTCTCAACAACAAAAATCTGTTTCCACATACTCAATAGAGACACCAGAACTTGCGTCACACTGAAGTACTATCTAAAACGTGTCTTGCTTTGTAATGAAAACATTCTGAAATAATAATAGTATGTGTGACTAAAGAACTCTGCTTAAGTAAATTTCTTATGTTGGAATGTAAACATATCTTCTCCTACCTTCACTTCCAGAGGAATCCTGATTATCAGGCTCAGGGGATGAGAAACCACACTCCCCTTTTTTCTGGCTGGTTGGTTTTCGCTTGATTTTCGGAACACTAACCTACAATTGTAAAACATAGAAATTACTTCCACAGAACCAGAACTGCAGCAAAGCAGCACATTCTGTCAGTAACAGCAAAAAGCATAATATCTCACAGACTTCCAAATCAAGATTTTTGACATAAAAGCAACCCAAGGTTTGTGCATCTTTCCATTAAGGGAGAACTGTGTTAAACTGCTGAACTCAACTTGGCATTACTTCACATTCTTAGTCAATTAAATCATCTCTACCACT